ATTGCTATTTTGTACACTTCATAAATGTATATGCAAAAGTGATGGCTTGATGATATATTATATACCAATTCTTTAAATGGAAGAATAAATCAAGTCACCCTTAAGTTAACTTTTGTGTGGAAAAAAAAGAAAATGAAAATGGAGAGAGCATTTCATTATACACTATTCTAATCACTTTCACTCTAAATTTAGCTCTCTAACTCATTGGATAATTTAGGCTATTTATATATATATAGTCATTGACATTAGTGATATAACAAGATTGTGAATGCTATTTTGAGGTAATTGTGGTCCCGTAAAATGTATACCAATACTAATGGACATTTTTAACCATTAACCTGTCAGAACCAAAACTTTGTAATAATGGTCCACATTAAAGTTTTTGCACAATGACAAATTTCTACTTCTATGAAGTGTTTTTGGAAACATCTTGAAATTGTATATTAACTGAACATACCACTATTAGCTCCAAGCTGGAATGGTGTTGAAGAAGTTGTGACCGCAGGTTGACCAAAAGATTTCTTCATAGCAGGCTCTCCTGTATCTGAAAAACCAAATTTACATTTATATTTCTTTTTTCTTACACTTACATTATTCAAGTATGTAACAGTGAAGTACTCCATCATGAAACAATAAAGATCTGTGCAAGTTTGTCGGATCTAGAAGTAAATAATTGTCATACATGTACATTACTGTAAGATATATAGAAGTTGTATATAATGTATTATAGTTACCATCATCTCTTCCACGTTTAGTTGGTGATGCCACAGATGTTGATTTTTGAGCAAAAGTAAATGGTGAACTTGAGGTATTTGAATCTACAGGCTTCTGACTAAATGTAAATCCTCCAACTGAAGGCTTTGTATTGTCCAATGGATTTGAGGTACCTTAATAACATAATAATAATAATTAACAAAGTAAACAATACACTTTGATTTACCAATATTATCAATTAACTAATTCACTTTTGCTACTAAACTCCTTTCAATATCCTTCTAACTTCCTTAATCAATATAATTAAGATTAGAATTTAATAAACTGAAAAATTAATGATTTATACGAAGAAGTTTAATCTATGTTTATCTATTTATGTGTTTTTATAAGATAAAAGCATCAATAATATATCAAAATTTTAATGTTAATTAAATCAATAAGGTAACTGTTACCTGATAATGCACTAGGATCTGTCACTTTGGTAGCTGTAAATGCAAAATTTCCTATAGAACTACTTGATGTTGTTGCCGCCACTGAATTACTAGTTAGTGATGTAAAGTTAAATCCACCAATTCCCTTTGAAGTATTTGTCACAGTTTCTGTAGCATTTGTTGTAACAGAACTAGAATTTGAGTCTGAGGATTTAAATGAAAAGCCACCTGGCACTGACATAGTAGTCTTTGTATCACCTTTAGTGCTCATCGCATCTGCTTTTTGTCCAAAAACAAAACCTACATTTGTAACCTGCTCTGAACTTGAGCTAGGTATTTTAGATGATACTGTACTGTCAAGTTTTCCAATCTGGAAACCAGCAGATTTTAAGGGACCATCTTTATTTTCAGGTTTCATATCCTTGTTTCCAAACTGAAAACCAGAAGTTGGTTTATCACCAGAAGGTGGTAGAGCATTTATCTTGAACCCACCAGAATTAACACTAGGCTTATCACTTTGAGAACTTGTTTGAGAGCCAAACTTAAATCCAGAACTTGTAGATGTTTCAGACTTCATATCTGAATTGAATTTAAATCCTCCACTTAATTTTGAATCAGCACTTTTATTTGTGTTTGTGTTTATTTTTGACACATCAAAACCTGAAGCAGTACTGGAAGCTGATGTTGGTACAGTGAATTTGAAGCCACCTGTGCTGGAGATGGTAACGCCTCCTGATTCTGTGCTTGGTAAGTTGAATCCACTAGCTTGAGATACTGTGTATGACTTTGCAATGCTTGGAACTAAAATATAGAATGTCCTTCAGAAATTGTCAGACAAATTTGCATCATGATTAATGTGAAAACTCACTTATTTGAAAAAGAGAAACCTTCCCAAAATAGCATTCAACAGAAAATTTTAATTTCAAAGCAACCGAAAAGTCAATAAACGTTTTAAGCACTATCTTATAAAGGTTCATTCAAAATAATTTAATCTAAAATTTACTTGGAGAAACTAGAACTGCCACTATCATGGCGTGAATACCCCCGCATACCACTTTGTCAGAATCAACAGTGGCCATTTAGAGCTCAAGGACAACCTCCCTGCCAAATCTTAGGTTACTAAGCCAGTGCATTGCTAAGTTATGTATTCTACATGCTTCAAATGTGAAAATGTCAAAATCAATACATTGCGGACAGGACATTCTTTAGCAATTGAGAAGAAAAGCTTTTTTTTTGTCAAGGTCCCTGTGACCTTGACCTTTGACCCAGTGACCTCAAAATCAATAGGGGTCACCTTATAGTCATGATCAACATCCATGCCAAATATGAAGACTGTGGGTCAAAGGAATCTTAAGTTAATGGGTGGACAAACTTTTTGAAGTCAAAGTCCCTATGACCTTGACCTTTGATCCAGTGACCTCAAAATCAAAAGGGGTCATCTACTAATCATGATCAACATCCATGCCAAATATGAAATCTGTGGGTCAAAGGAATCTAAAGTTATTGGGCAGACAAACTTTTTGAAGTCAAAGTCCCTGTGACCTTGACCTTAGACCTGGTGACCTCAAAAACAATAGGGTTCATCTACTAATCATGACTAACCTCCATTCCAAATATGAAGACTGTGGGTCAAAGGAATCTTAAGTTATTGGGCGGACAAGCTTTTTGAAGTCAAGGCCCCTGTGACCTTGACCTTTGACCTGGTGACCTTAAAATCAATAGGGGTCATCTACTTATCATGACTATCCTCCATGCCAAATATGAAGACTGTGGGTCAAAGAAATCTTGAAGTTATTGGGCAGACAAGCTTTTTGAAGTCAAGGCCCCTGTGACCTTGACCTTTGACCTGGTGACCTTAAAGTCAATAGGGGTCATCTACTTATCATGACTAGCCTCCATGCCAAATATGAAGACTGTGGGTCAAAGAAATCTTGAAGTTATTGGGCGGACAAGCTTTTTGAAGTCAAGGCCCCTGTGACCTTGACCTTTGACCTGGTGACCTCAAAGTCAATAGGGGTCATCTACTAATTATGACTAACCTCCATGCCAAATATGAAGACTAAGGGTCAAAGGAATCTTAAGTTATTGGGCGGACAAGCTTTTTTGAAGTCAAGGCCCCTGTGACCTTGACCTTTGACCTGGTGACCTCAAAATCAATAGGGGTCATCTACTAATCATGACTAACCTCCATGCCAAATATGAAGACTAAGGGTCAAAGGAATCTTAAGTTATTGGGCGGACAAGCTTTTTGAAGTCAAGGCCCCTGTGACCTTGACCTTTGACCTAGTGACCTCAAAATCAATAGGGGTCATCTACTAATCATGACTAACCTCCATGCCAAATATGAAGACTAAGGGTCAAAGGAATCTTAAGTTATTGGGCGGACAAGCTTTTTGAAGTCAAGGCCCCTGTGACCTTGACCTTTGACCTAGTGACCTCAAAATCAATAGGGGTCATCTACTAATCATGACTAACCTCCATGCCAAATATGAAGACTAAGGGCAGACTTCCCGAAAGTTGAAAAAAACTGTCAGACATTCGGTCTGACAAACCATGAAAATCTGTCGGACCGAAACGAAATCTGTCGGACCAAATAAAATTGATCAAAATCAAAGAATAACTTGTGTTTGTATTTCTAAGACACTTATTTGTTTTTAATTTTTTCGCCGTAAAAATTGGCACAATCCGTACAGCGCATTTTCATCTCATCCCTGTCATACACCAATGATTCATGGTTCTGTTTCCATTTTTCATTAAATTTTGTCTCAGGTTTATTCTTTTCATCCTTTTATTGCTGTTCTGCGCGCTCCTCTGACGTAGATTTTCGTTTTTTCCCAGGTTTGGCACCTTTAGCGACGCCATTTTGTATACATGCGGCTTGGATAAAAGCCGGACAGTCGGACCGATCCGGAATAAAAAATCGTCGGACCTGATCAAAATTTATCGGACATGTCCGTCGGACCGACGTATTTCGGGAAGTCTGAAGGGTCAAAGGAATCTTAAGTTATTGGGCGGACAAGCTTTTTGAAGTCAAGGCCCCTGTGACCTTGACCTTTGACCTAGTGACCTCAAAATCAATAGGGGTCATCTACTAATCATGACTAACCTCCATGCCAAATATGAAGACTAAGGGTCAAAGGAATCTTAAGTTATTGGGCGGACAAGCTTTTTGAAGTCAAGGCCCATGTGACCTTGACCTTTGACCTAGTGACCTCAAAATCAATAGGGGTCATCTACTAATCATGACTAACCTCCATGCCAAATATGAAGACTAAGGGTCAAAGGAATCTTAAGTTATTGGGCGGACAAGCTTTTTGAAGTCAAGGCCCATGTGACCTTGACCTTTGACCTAGTGACCTCAAAATCAATAGGGGTCATCTACTAATCATGACTAACCTCCATGCCAAATATGAAGACTAAGGGTCAAAGGAATCTTAAGTTATTGGGCGGACAAGAAAAAACCGACGGACGGACGGCCGGACGGACGGACGGACGGACGGACAAGCTGATTCCAGTATACCCCCCTTACAACTTTGTTGTGCGGGGGTATAAAAACAAAACACATCAACAGACGTAGGTCATTTTGAGCACAATTATATTTAACAATCTAAAACATACACTTTGTCATCAGGTTCCTTATTCTACATGTAACTCAATACTGTATACAAACAAACTGTATTCAGAATTCATTATGTATTAACATAATTACAAACCTGCTTGTGTACGAGGTGGCCCTGGTCTTACATAATTACATGCTACACAATTTACAGCTGATGCCTTGTTGTTGACCAGACATGTATCACATACCCAGTCACCAGGGGGATGTTTAAAGAACTTGAGAGGTTTAGGGGTCTGACAAGCCACACATTTATTGTCATCAGACTTGTTCTGTACTAGACAAACCTCACACTCCCAACTTCCAGCAGCTGGCTTGAACTTAGCAAACAAACTGTCTGACTTGTTTAATTCACTTGGTTTAGCTGTAAAACACAAATAAAATATCATTTTTTCAATACATCATTAAATGTTAAAAAAACTATTTGTATGATTTCAGGAATTTTGTAAAATTTCAACATGATATATGCAAATATCATCCATGTGCCTATTGTAATCAAGCACATTTTACTGACAATGTTTTCATTTATTCATGAAATATTCTTTTTATCAGCATTCAGACATATTCTGGCTAATGTGAAACTATAATTTCACTATCTACTTAAAAGCATGTAAAAAACATTTTTTGTGTAAGAATAGCTGACATATATTATTTTTTTCAATGTTACCTTTTGTTGGGTTACTCACTTCTATATTTTAACCATATACTAATATATATGAAGGAAACAAATCATGGGGCGTAATATAATTATTACTTACATGTTGATTTTGCAGCCTTACATGCGCCACATATTGTATCATCTTTCTTGTTTTGTATAAGACAGACATTACAGATCCAGTTTCCTGGCTGAATGGAGCTCACTAGGGGTGATGTGTTGGATGTTGCAGAGCCTTTGAAAATAAAACAAGAATGTACTATACTGGCAACATTATAATTATTATCAATATTAAATCTTTCAAAAAATATATTCGCAACTAATTGAAAACAATTTTTTTTTGTGTCATTCTTGGCCTAATTTGAGTTGAAAGCATTGCATTTACTTTTCATAACGCTATAAAAATGGTATTCTTGCAAAAACTGAGTACGAATGATCTGAAATTTTGCACACAAGTATTTGGTCTCAACATCGCCTCATGATTTTGTCAGTATCACAAAATAGAAAAAAAGTGTTAAACTGCCAATTAACACTGGTTAGGGACTACATGTTTATGCGCCGTTTTTTTTCTCCCTCGATAATATAGTTAACATATTTTTCAACACAACAATAACGCATTTTTATTGATATTTTCCGTTCTTACAATGTTTTATTTTCATATATTGCTAAATAATGTCTAACATACACTACAGCCTTTGTGGTCAATTCCTATGCATCAAAACCCCATTAGCACTTGCAAACAGTATCGAAATAGGCAAGTCTGAACTACCATAGTCAGACTAGCTCTATATTGTGAACTTAAAACTAAACTAAACTAAACTAAAAAAGAAAAAAAAATTCTCCTTTTTCTTTGATGAAAAGGATAATGAAAAGTTCCAAAAAATGGAGACAGGACAAATCCTTTCAAGAAATTTAGCTGTACAATGGATAAATTTAGAAAACATCCTGAAAATGTTTACCCATTATATAGAGGATATTTGTTTGTTTTTCATGTAAGATTGAAATATATTTCACTGAGTGAACACCAGATGCAATATTTTCGCGAGTGGCGTAGCCAGGAGTGAAAATATTATAGCTGGTGTTCACGAATGAAATATATTTAAATTTTATATGTTAAACAAATAAATTTTCTTTTTATTTCATGCTTTTAAAGTGATTTTAAGTATTTTTTACTGATTTTGCCGCGTAACGTCGCACATTCTCCTTCATGACGTCATCATATCATGACCTCACATCATTAATTCTGAAATATAGTTCTCTTAAATTTCTCTAATTTTATTACATTTTTAACATGATGTATGATGACATCCACTTTCTTTTCCTAAAGAAGCAAAATTTACATATGATGACATTAATTTTTGCCAGTTATTCCATTTAGTTATGATATTCTTTTCATCCGCATTCAGATCTAGTCCAGCTACAGTAAAAATTATATTTTATGAATTTCACTAGTGGTTTATTAGAATATAATCATCTGATATATTACAGTAAAACACTGGAAAGCATGAAATAAAAGGACATACCTGGTTTACGAGTCTGACAAGCCACACATTTAATATCATCCTGCTTGTTCTGTATCAAACATGTATCACAAGTCCAACTTCCTACTGGCTGTTTAAACTTGGCAAACAAATCAGATTTCAAAGGTTCTGATGGATCACTTTTTTGTACAGAGAAAACATCTAAAATAAAGAAAAATAGTATATTGTAAAATGAACAGTAAATACGGTTTATGTCTAATAAAGAATACTTTGTGTTTTATTTATATATTCCTTTAATTATCAGAATATACTGCAATCAAATGATTCTAAGCTTTTATGTTAAAAATTATCTAAATATTTATTAAAAATTGGAAATTTTAAATCACCTTTGGGTTTTTGCCCACCAGGTTTGGGGGTTTGACATGCCACACACTTGCTATCAGCATCTTTATTGTTGATAAGACAAACGTCACAACTCCAGCCTGTTTTCTTAAATATCTCACTGAGAGGGGGTGCACTTGATTGTGAGTCACCTGAATTAAATAAAGTAATTATAAGCATGTCGGGTAAGAAAAATCATATAATCATTTACTTAACAATAACAATAAATATTAATTTCAAGTAAGCAAAGGTTTGCGAGTGTAAAGACAAGTCACTGCCATTTTTCTATTTTGACTTTCATTTTGTGAATTCTTAATTCCAGCCCTAGTACTTAAAAAAAATATCCCCCTTTTGTAAAATATAACACCTCTTTTGGCGTTTATTAGAAAACATACAGTACCTTTGGGTTTCTGCCCACCAGGTTTGGGGGTTTGACATGCCACACATTTGCTATCAGCATCTTTATTGTTGATCAGACAAACGTCACAACTCCAGCCTGTTTTCTTAAATATCTCACTGAGTGGAGGAGCACTTGATGTATCACCTGAATTTCAAATTTTAAGAGGCATACATTTTAAGAGTAACTAGTATATTCAAACTAAGTAAAAACCATGTAATGATGTAAATAAATATTCAAATATTTAAAGGTCAGTCTATACTTGTTTATTACTTAAAGCCTCATTTTAAACTACATCAAAATATTACAACAGTAATATACCAAAAAACAAATATTTTAAATCACCTTTGGGTTTTTGCCCACCAGGTTTAGGTGTTTGACATGCCACACATTTGCTATCAGCATCTTTATTGTTGATCAGACAAACTTCACAACTCCAACCTGTTTTCTTAAATATCTCACTGAGTGGGGGAGCACTTGTACTTGGTGTGCTGGACTGGGATGTGAAAGATTTACTGCCTCCTAATATATCCATCACACTTCCTTGTTTAAGTTCAGCGGCTACTTTTATTCCCCCAACAGAAGTTTCAACAGGACCTTAATAGAACAAAAATATATATACACATAAATACATACTTTTTTCCCAATGAAAATGAAATTGCATGGGAGAAATCAGTTCTCATAAGCACAGAGAATTGCTAATAAAACAACATGTGATCAAGTAAGGGTGTAAGAGTATACCATCGGTACGTTATATCATATCTGTTTTTTTAATGGTATTAATGATAATTTAATAAATTGAAAAAGACATGAGATATCTGAAATATTGATATACATATAGCATACCTATTTGTACATTCAAATTTTATTCTGCTTTCAATAAATTAGACTTTAAACCTTCACTTAAATGAAAGATGAGTGATTACTAAGAATAAGAATTAAAGAATATGAAAATGTAACTTGTAAACAGAGCTTATTATGATGAACTTTCAAAGAATTATTTTTATTTTGATATTCATATTTACAAAACAACATTTGCTCATACCATTGACTTTTGGCTTTGGTTTTGGGGGGCTGGTTTGGGGAAGTATTTCCATGGGGTTTTACTTGGTGGGTGGGGGATGAGGGAAAATAAAAGCTGGTTTTATTGAAAAACCCCAAAAGACGGGTTGATGTGGCAACAAAAGGTTTTCCTAACCCTTGTGGTTTTGGGTTCCTTTTTCTTAAACCCACAAATGATAGGGGAGCCTAAAATTTGGGAAAAACCCGAAAAAAATTGAAAATATCCCAAAATTCTTTTTTCAAAAATAAATTTTAATGAGATTTTTTTAAAAATGTTTTAAATTTCTACATATTGCAACTAAACACTCTTAATCACAGTTATAACTATAATTCATAATACATGTACTTAAATGTTAACAAAATTTAGAAGAAAAATGTACTTTACCGAATATTTCTGTGGTGATGCAGGTTTATTAGCTGGTACAGGCTCAATTATTGGGGAAGAGAAAGTGAAGTTCAATGATTGTTTCACAGGTGACTCTGCACTTCTTTTCACTGCCTTATCTATATTTGATTGAGAGGCTGGTGTTGCAAAATTGAACTGTGGCATTGAACTTACAGGTAATGTAAATTCTGTGTTCAAGTTGGGGATAATCACCTGTAAAATGATATATGATCAAATCAATTTTATACCATGCAGGTAACTAAAGGATTAATTCATAAGACTTTTTATCATCTTTAATTAAATTTTGTATATTTACATCTTATATCTATCTGACTTTCATGCATCAAATACTTAAATGAATATAGGCATTGTTATCAAACAGATGGTTATCAAGATATTAAAGTTTTTTATGTTATATATGCATTGTTATCAAGATATTAAAGGTTTTTTATGTTATATAGGCATAAGAATATAATATTTACGGTGTCATCTTCCTCAAGGGTTGTTTTTACAGAAGCACTGCCCCTGTGGTATGATTTATCTCTCTTCATTTTGCCTGACGGTACAGAAACTTCATTATTCAGAATGACTGTATCCTGTCTGGTAGGTCTCCTGCTTATATCCTCTTGAATCTATATGAATAAATATTTACAGCACAATATTTTAATTCGTAACAATATCTACAAATTTGTATTAGGTGTAAGATTTACTTCGAGTTAACTGAAAAATACTCCTAAAATTTTGTAACCTTCATTTATACCAGCTGTCTACTCGATACATAATCCATTTAGAGATAAACTTCTGGTAGTAAAAAATCATATTCATATATGAAACAAATCAAATTCATATATGAAACCATTTGAACCTTTTTTCTTTGAAAAAATTTAAATATATATTATGTTTAAATTATCATCACTGACCTGACTAGATGTAGCTTTAGGCTGTTGTAAAGGTGCAAAGCTAACTTGTCTATTTTTACTTATTGAAGCCTGGGAGCTTATATTCAATTTCTGAGTAGGCGGTCCAGTTCTCGTCATAGATCTGTTTGTGTCTCTAGAGAAGAATGATGGACTTTCTGTCCATTGACGTGGAACCATTGGAATCTTTTTGGCATCCTACAACCATAGAATTGTTATAACATCAAATTAATATTCTAAAATGAAAACATTCAAACATTACCTGACCAAGTTTAACAGATAGGAAACTCAAGATACCCATCATGGCATGTTAGCATACTTTCAAATAAAATAATTATCTGGATGGAACCAACATCTGGTTTTTTCCCACTACAATAACTAATATCGGAACATATCATTCCCAATACACAAGAGCACAGCAGGCAGTGTTAAGTTGTTAACACTTGTCTGTTAAGCACAAAGACTTTCATTGACCAACTTTGACAAAATTGTAAGTTAAACAGGGGCATGAATACCTGGTGTATTATGTTATATTCCCAAAATAACAAGCAATTATCATAGTATTGCAAGCAATCCATAAGTCCCCTACGGGTTAGAACCCCAGGAACATTATGATGGGCCATTGGCCATTTAATTTTACCAGTGAATGAATGACATGAATGAACTTAATTTTTCGAGTTCTAAGTTTGTCTATATCATAGTAATGTGTTAAGTTTCCCTGCCTAGTAAGTAAATTATGTTTATACAACAGATAATCAAAAGGTCCAATTTTCTCAGGATGAATAAGTATAATAACTAATGTTTCAACTTTTCTCTATTTTAAGTAGATTTGTTGGAAAAAAATCTTTAAAAGTGATCTCAGGAAACAGTTTTTATGAACAGACAGACAGGCAGACATACAGACAGACTGAAGGAGACTCTTAAGTTATTTTTTTTAAACATCCCTGTTACCAAAATATAACATATTCTAATACAAAATTCTTAAAGAGGAGATAACTCTTGAAATAAAGATGCTAGATTTATGAACATTGTCATATATGATGTGAGTTTTACTTTAAGTTAAAAGATACTATTTATAGTCATTAAGAAGATAAGTAAAAAATAACAATTTTCAAATATAGCATTAACTATAATGTATAGTAAGTAACAAAGATGAAAATTAAAAAAAATATAATGTAGGTGTTGATAATGAATGTTTATTTTGAATTTGAAGAACATCCATGAAGAAAAAATTAGAAAGTTAAAGGAATAGGAATGGATGGATTGATGTCTGTCTAATATAAATATTCATGATTTAAAAAGAGGTACCATGACAGTTTTTCTGTTGACATCAACCCTATAAGTGAGAAATTCGTGTTTAAAGACACTATTTTTTACTTGAGAAATAAGTTCATGGGCGCCGCCATTTTGGCGTTCTGTCATTCTCGCGAGACAGACGAGACCGAGATTGTGACTTGTTACACCCACTTCCGGTATAGGTGTACACGCTGGTACAACTGAAATGTATCTTGATGAAGAACTTATTAATCTTATTGCGTACATTATATATTATTTATGAAAACATCATATGGAACTGAATTGCTTTAATTAATTAGTTGAAGATGCCTCGACATTAATTATCATTTGTCCGCTTTTCAAGCTTGCTGATGATCCCACGATATGATTTAAGCAATGACTGCTTAATTTTCAAAGATAAACCATTAATTTAATTTGGGTACTATGAGAAACTTCTTCAAATTGACGATATATCCTTTTATTTTGTACTTAATTTTCGCTAGACAAGCTGTCCGAATAGGGTACATCGCCGGTCATGTATCTATTTTCAGCGTAAAATATCAACTTAATCAATATGCAGAGATCTGTTGAGGATGCGATTTTCCGCCATTGACGCTAAAAATGAGAATGGCGCAGGAAAATCGGCAGCCAGACTAATATCGTATGAAAACAAAACTGTCCGTTAGGTTATTTAGGCACCCAGTCAAAACTGGTACCAACAGCAACAGGTTGCCCATTCCCCTGTAATAACGCGTATTCTCGGGTTTATAGCTTTTTTCCACGTTATCTACTTACCCAATTCCTTTCCAACACAGATACGCATTTCTTCTACCGTAAATTTAATCCAATAAAACAAAAAAAATCATAAATCTACTTAATATTTAAAATGATTATTGGTAACTGAAAAAAAAATGTGTTGCTATTTTATGACATGCTGTAATTTACAGTATAATTTGACAGGTGTGGAACTTAATTTCCCCTAAGGTCATTCAGTTCACTGATGAAGCGTAACAAAAAATAGATGTCTATTTCGTCATTAGAATATTTGACAAGGGTGATTAACTAATCAGGGCAACATTGTGCATGATCAAAAGGTCTGTCGGCACAGAGGCATACAAGGAGCAATAAAAATCGTTAGTACACAGTGTGACAGGAACATTTGGTGCAAATTAGGAACAATTAAAATGGACAATGCACAGTATTAGACATAATTAAGTAGTAAGAACCAGCAATTGTGTGAATAAATTATGCAAATTAGATTTTTGAGCAGCCAATAGAAATGTTTTGACTGCAGTTAATATTAGGCTACGATTATGATGCGCAGCATCATACGTTGACAGACATGTTAGCAATTTACTTTTCAAAAGAGTTGCTTACATTTTTGAAATGTGTACATCAATTATAACAAATGTTCACAACTTTTAATTTGAAAGTCAGAATCAAACTGCAAAAATTTAATTACATGTACTATTACGAACACGTTTTAGTAGGATTTTAATAATAATGATAATTATCGCCGTTCAATAATTAACAGCCAATTATTCGTTGGTGTGTTTGTTTATTTAATTGCATTATTTGATTGTGAAACTTTGTTAAATAATAACGTGTATTTATTAAATCTGTGAAATATTGTATAATTACATTAAGATGAGACTTTAATGAACATAGCATTGTTTGGAGTAACGGGCATCACTGGCCTGAAGTGGTGCGACAGGTAGACGTTGATTTTTTTTTTTTTATATTGTTACGTATTTTGAAAAATCTCCTCTACACCTGTGAAAATTAAATTGTCTGGTCAATACTTTCTTATATTAATATTTCCCTACGATTCAACTAGATTAATCATAAATCTAAAGATGTGGGGAAATGACATCACGCGCACCTGTTTTTATACGACCAATACACAAACATGGCCGCGCTTACTGATTTGTAGAAATCGGTGATTTAGCGATTTAAATTTTGTTATCATTCGTTTAATATTATTATTTGGCGGCAGAAAATTTGCAGATTTATTATTTATAGTATTCTTTTTCTGAAATCAAGTTTTTATTCTAACCTTGTCGTTCCCTTTAAAGAATGAATAAGAAAAATTCGAAGTTTAAGGAGGAGATAATTCTGGAAATATGGATTCTAGATTTATGCACCTTGTCATATTATTATGATATGGGATTTTAAAGTAAATCCTATAAGGAATGAAGAAGTTGCAGTAAAAAATACCAATTTCTCGAAAAAAATCTAAGTTCAAGGGGGATATAATTCTGGAAATAGTCTTGCAAGAGTATTTAACCTTCTCAAAAATGTTGAGTGATAATAAGAAACATATTTATGAAGTTTGAAGTAGATACATTAAACAAGAGCTGTCAGTAGGACAGCAACGCTCGACTATTCTTAGTGCTTGATAGTAAAAAAAATGCTTGATACAGTTACCTCTTCCTGTAAACAGGTTGGGGTCATGATGGTGAACAAGTGTGCAAAGTTTCAAAGCCATATGTCAATGGACTTTGAAAATATTTGAACTATTACAAAAACTTTAACATAAATTCCAAGTCGAAAAAGGGGCATAATTCTGTCAAAATGCTTGATAGAGTTACCTCCTCCTGTTTACAGGTTGGGGTCATGATGGTGAACAAGTGTGCAAAGTTTCAAAGCCATATGTCAATGGACTTTGAAAATATTTGAACTATTACAAAAACTTTAACATAAATTCTAAGTCGAAAAAGGGGCATAATTCTGTCAAAATGCTTGATAGAGTTACCTCCTCCTGTTTACAGGTTGGGGTCATGATGGTGAACAAGTGTGCAAAGTTTCAAAGCCATATGTCAATGGACTTTGAAAATATTTGAACTATTACAAAAACTTTAACATAAATTCTAAGTCGAAAAAGGGGCATAATTCTGTCAAAATGCTTGATAGAGTTACCTCCTCCTGTTTACAGGTTGGGGTCATGATGTTGAACAAGTGTGCAAAGTTTCAAAGCCATATGTCAATGGACTTTGAAAATATTTGAACTATTACAAAAACTTTAACGTAAATTCTAAGTTGAAAAAGGGGCATAATTCTGTCAAAATGCTTGATAGAGTTACCTCCTCCTGTCTACAGGTTGGGGTCATGATGGTGAACAAGTGTGCAAAGTTTCAAAGCCATATGTCAATGGACTTTGAAAATATTTGAACTATTACAAAAACTTTAACATAAGTGGTTACGCCGACGCCGACACTCGGGTGACTGCAATAGCTCTACTTATTCTTATCGAATAGTCGAGCTAAAAATAAAGAAGTTATTTAAACAAGAGCTGTCGGTAGGACAGCAACGCTCGACTATTCTTAGTGCTTGATAGTAAAAAAAATGCTTGATACAGTTACCTCCTCCTGTTTACAGGATGGGGTCATGATGGTGAACAAGTGTGCAAAGTTTCAAAGCCATATGTCAATGGACTTTGAAAATATTTGAACTATTACAAAACTTTAACGTAAATTCTAAGTCGAAAAAGGGGCATAATTCTGTCAAAATGCTTGATAGAGTTACCTCCTACTGTTTACAGATTGGGGTCATGATGTTGAACAAGTGTGCAAAGTTTCAAAGCCATATGTCAATGGACTTTGAAAATATTTGAACTATTACAAAAACTTTAACATAAATTCTAAGTCGAAAAAGGGGCATAATTCTGTCAAAATGCTTGATAGAGTTACCTCCTCCTGTCTACAGGTTATGGTCATGATGGTGAACAAGTGTGCAAAGTTTCAAAGCCATATGTCAATGGACTTTGAAAATATTTGAACTATTACAAAAACTTTAACGTAAATTCTAAGTCGAAAAAGGGGCATAATTCTGTCAAAATGCTTGATAGAGTTACCTCCTCCTGTCTACAGGTTGGGGTCATGATGGTGAACAAGTGTGCAAAGTTTCAAAGCCAAATGTCAATGGACTTTGAAAATATTTGAACTATTACAAAAACTTTAACATAAATTCTAAGTCGAAAAAGGGGCATAATTCTGTCAAAATGCTTGATAGAGTTACCTCCTCCTGTCTACAGGTTGGGGTCATGATGGTGAACAAGTGTGCAAAGTTTCAAAGCCATATGTCAATGGACTTTGAAAATATTTGAACTATTACAAAAACTTTAACGTAAATTCTAAGTCGAAAAAGGGGCATAATTCTGTCAAAATGCTTGATAGAGTTACCTCCTCCTGTCTACAGGTTGGGGTCATGATGGTGAACAAGTGTGCAAAGTTTCAAAGCCATATGTCAATGGACTTTGAAAATATTTGAACTATTACAAAAACTTTAACGTAAATTCTAAGTCCAAAAAGGGGCATAATTCTGTCAAAATGCTTGATAGAGTTACCTCCTCCTGTCTACAGGTTGGGGTCATGATGGTGAACAAGTGTGCAAAGTTTCAAAGCCATATGTCAATGGACTTTGAAAATATTTGAACTATTACAAAAACTTTAACATAAGTGGTTACGCCGACGCCGACGCCGACGCTCGGGTGACTGCAATAGCTCTACTTATTCTTATCGAATAGTCGAGCTAAAAAAGACAACATTTCTAAGTTCAAGGGAAGTAATTCTGATAATTTTTGTGCTAGAGTTGTAAACCCTGTCACATATGATGTGGTTGATGACCAGAAACTTATATTTAAAGTTTGAAGTAAACACCTTAAAAAATAAAAAACTTATAGTGAAAAAGCGTAAAAATTCAAATCAGAAATCTTGAAATTCAGTCTATTTGTTGCCATAGCAACCAGAATTTTCAACATAGGAAGAAAAGACAAGAGGGCCATGATGGCCATGAGATCGCTCACCTGTAGATAGCCCCCCCCCCCAGACTTGGTAGACACCCATAAGAAGATGTTTCATGCTAAATATCTAAGTTCTAGCTCATTGGGTTTTTTAAAAGAAGATTTTTTAAGTTTTTGCTATACACATATAGTTAAAAACAATGACACCCCTGGGGCAGGGCCAGTTTTGACCCCCAGGCTTTTATTTGAACAAACTTTGTAGATATTTACTAAAAGATATTTCATGCTTAATATCTAAACTCTAGCTATTTGGGTTTTTTCAAAGAAGATTTTTAAGTTTTTGCTATACACAAAAAAAGGAAAATCAATGACCCCCGGGGCAGGGCCATTTTTGACCCCGGGGCTTTTATTTGAACAAACTTTGTAGACACTGATTAGAAGATGATTCATGCTTAATATCTAATCTCTAGCTATATGGGTTTTTTCAAAGAAGATTTTTAAGTTTTTGCCATACACATATAAGGAAAATCAATGACCCCCGGGGCGGGGCCAATTTTGACTAGGGATATGCGGTATTACCGGTATACCGCGGTTTCGTTCAGACGCGGTACGTACCGGTACGACCCCTAGGAATACCGGTTTTTTAATATATATAATTTTACATAATATTTTTGTAAGATTCGGACGTTATTTACCCTGTAATCTGTGTTTCAACTTTCAACCTAAATTAAAGTGGAATTCCAAGTCTATTTTTAGAGCAGCAGTATAATACTCTAACGAATAATTAGTCGCGGAAAGGTCGGATCGTTTCCCGGTTGTTTTTCATATTTATTATGTAGTGTAAATACATTTCATCCGCCGACATTTTTATAATTTCTATATATCATTCTTCATTTAAATGCATTAAAAGGGGACACCCATGTTAGTGCTCAGTCTAAGGCTAGTAAACATGTTGACGTATTGACGAGTGGCGACAATAACAAAACGTAAAGCATTTAGACATAGCCCAACTTGTAAACAGCTCATACCGTCATGGACGAATTCACCACGGTCAAAAATCCAATGGGAATTGCCATTTTTCTGTTTTAGATTTTGTTGAAAATATTATCAAGACAATAAGGTTATTTTCTTCTTTCTTTTATTTATTATTTTCCAGTCAGGTAGACAGATGTTAGTTGAAAGAAATAAAGATATTAATCTGTTTTTCTAAAATGTATTGTGTTTTATCAAAATGTTTAAACATTCTTATGGCAGTTGGTCTTAGTTTGCATAAGTTAAACATTATCTTAGCTCTAGCTCTTTGGGTTCTTTAAAAGAAGATTTTTTAAGTTTTTACTATATGCATATAGGGAAAATCAATGACCCCCTGGGGCGGGGCCAATTTTGACCCCATGGCTTTTATTTAAACAAACATGGTAGACACTCACTAGAAGATGTTTCATGCCAAATATCTTAGCTCTAGCTCTTTTGGTTCTTTAAAAGTAGATTTTTTAAGTTTTTACTATATGCATATAGGGAAAATCAATGACCCCCTGGGGCGGGCCAATTTTGACCCCAGGGCTTTTATTTGAACAAATTTGGTAGACACCCATTAGAACATGTTTCATGCTAAATATCTCAGCTCTAGCTCTTTCGGTTCTTTAAAAGAAGATTTTTTACTATATGCATATAGGGAAAATCAATGACCCCCTGGGGCGGGGCCAATTTTGACCCCAGGGCTTTTATTTAAACAAACTTGGTAGACACTCACTAGAAGATATTTCATGCCAAATATCTTAGCTTTAGCTCTTTGGGTTCTTTAAAAGAAGATTTTTTAAGTTTTTACTATATGCATATAGGGAAAATTATGACCCCCTGGGGCGGGGCCAATTTTGACCCCAGGGCTTTTATTTGAACAAACTTGGTAGACACTCACTAGAAGATGTTTCATGCCAAATATCTTAGCTCTAGCTCTTTGGGTTCTTTAAAAGAAGATTTTTTAAGTTATTACTATATGCATATAGGGAAAATCTATGACCCCCTGGGGCGGGGCCAATTTTGACCCCAGGGCTTTTATTTGAACAAACTTGGTAGACACTCACTAGAAGATGTTTCATGCATAATATCTAAGCTCTAGCTCTTAGGGTTGTTTAAAAGAAGATATTTAAAGATTTTTCTTTCGGTTGCCATGGCAACCAGAGTTCTGCATGGAATTAAATTCTTTGAACAATTTTTAAAGGTGACCACCAAAGGAACATTCCTGTGAAGTTTGGATGAAATTGGCTCAGTGGTTTATGAGGAGATGTCATTTAAAGCAAAAGTTTACGGACGGCAGACGACGGACGGACGGACGCCAGACGAAAAGCGATCACAAAAGCTCACACTGTCACTTTGTGACAGGTGAGCTAAAAAAAGATGTGCATAATCTCCAGACTGCCATCTACCCATATTTCAAGTTTCATAAAAATATTTTCAGTACTTTTTGAGTTATCACTGGATCCAGTTTATAGGTTAAATTTGCCATATTTTCAGTCTTTTTGTTGCCATAGCAACCAGAATTTTCAACATAGAAAGAAAAGAAAAAGACGTGCATAATCTCCATACTGCCATTTATCCATTTATCAAGTTTCATAAAAATATTTTCAGTACTTTTTGCGTATTCGCTGGACCTGGTTTTGTGGACGGACTGACAAACTGACAGACAGACGGAGGGTAAACCTAAAGTCCCCCCCCCCCGGTTAAAACGGTAGGGGACTAAAAACAAGCAAGACGTAAAGCTTCCTCACATGAAAAATTCAATGTCCCTAACAACCGATTTGAATGGCAAGTGATAAAGTTACAGCATGCCCACTCAAATTCAATTTTTTTTTCTTATAACAGTACTTGTGGCATCAAGCTATATTTACGAAAGGACACTATTATATAAATTACATATGTATAAGGAAGAACACTTACATTCAGGGGTGTAGGCATTTTATCCAGTGCCTCAAGAATTCTTTTTGCGGTAGAACTGGTGACAGCTTCTTTACTGGGAGTCAGTCTTGGCCTTGCCTTCATGAAAGCCTTCACTGGAACTGACAGCTACAAACAATAAGAGAATACAATTTTTTGACACTTGTCTAGCATAATTAAACAAAATAAATTTAACGTAATTATAATCAATACTTACTAAAAACTCCTGTGATTTTAAAACATAATAATCATTACTGTACCAGTCAACTGTAACCACTGTTTATAGATTTGTAAAAAAAAGGAAAGGAATGAAGATTCTTCCATACTTCATATGTTGTAGTTTTACCATGTTAACACTATAAGGTTACTTATAAATATTAAAACATACAAAGCTATTTCAGTGTAAAACATTTGAGAATAGTTCCATAGCACTTTTGTTTTGCAAGGTTATCAAAACTGAATGCTGCCAATTTATTGATTTCCAAGATAGAGATTTCAAAGATTTGGTAAACACCTCATGAATACAAAAACTAAGTATGGGCAGTTGTTTAATGCCTTAAACTTACTCGACTAGGCAGAGATTGGTTTAGATCCATATTTTTTCTTTGAGATCTGAAGGAGATTGATGAACGACCACCAAATTTAGTTTTTCCAGGGTAAAAGCTTGACTCATGAACACTAGTTCCCAGCAGAGAAGACTCATTCTGAAATAATAATGTGCTATTATATATGAACAGCACCATAAATATCTTATCTTTCCAGTAATTAATGAAAATTATAAACCTTTTAATTAAAATCTTTCAAATATGAATAATAAAATAATAAGATGACAGAAATTCAATGTGTTTCAAAACAACACCTGTCCTAAATGGACCTTAACAAAAAGGTTAACCAACACATGTGCCAACAAGTTTATGACAATGGCTCCAATTTTTTTCTTTAGAAAGTGGATAAAATAAAAAAAAGAAGAAAAAAAACAGTATTATACAAATTTTAAATGATACATGGGGTGCCTTGTCTTAAAATTATAACAGCCTCAATAGTAAAAGAAGCTCATTTAATTTATGTTACAAATACAAACACAAACTTATCAACATTCAACATGCCTTAAGCAAAAAAATACTTACATTGAGTGGTGAGCCAAACAGGGAGGTATTAAATGCTGGCCTGTTGGTCACTGCAGGGGTAGGCTGTTTACTAATAAATGTGTCACTTAAACGTCTGTTGAATGTCTGATTGCTACCAGTCCCAGCATGCACTGAAAAACCATAACATGCATATCATTTCTTGTTGGTTTTTTTGTTCTATTCTAATAACATCTAAGAAACAAGCCCAGTTGAAAAGCCTCATTAACATGGGATTTGGAGAGAACATGACTACAACAAATGTCACATATTTCTAACAACTATCAATGAAATACAAAATCCCCTTACATCTTTGCCTCTTAGCAACCTGCTGTTCTTGGGGTGATGTGCCCCCTAGTGTCATCTGTTCTGGGGCTTTTCTTTTGTCCCCAGCTGTATCAAGCCTCTGAGGGACATCTGGTTGAGGGACCATGGAAGAACAGCCACTTGTAGACTTAGATCCATCACTTCTCTGTGACATTGTGTCTTCTGTAACAAATACAAGCATTTGTTTTCATACAATATATTTAAAGTTCAAGTCCAAATTATAGCAGGGTTTTTTTAATAATACTTAACATAGTATAAATGGCTTAACAGTTTTTAAACATAGATCAATGACCTTGGATATATGAAATTCTTATATAAGTTCTATAGAGAGAGTATTTTAACAAAGTAATTTAGCCCTGAAATACAGAAATGATGTAGAGGTGAATAGTATTATAGATATATTCTTTTTTTTGTTGCTGATTATCTTACCCTGTGCCATTATGCTATCAGATTTCTCAGTTATGCGTGCCAATGGCAACTGAGCAGATGTGAACTCAGATATCGGAGGTGGAAATGCCCCCTGCTGGAAAGGAGATGCTAACACACCACTTGGATTTATACTATGACCAACTGCGGCAAAGTCCAGAGTCCTTGGTTGCCCATTGCCGACAAATGTGCCTCTGTTTTTGAACTGCATATCCCTGTTTATTCCTGCTTGCTGACTTGAAGAACCCATCATTCCAGCTTGTCCTGCTGGTAAAACTGGTGTCTGAGATGGTGAATTGTCTGATGACATACTGGACTGCCCAGACTGCATCCCTGTTGATGGGTCAGAACTCTGAAACAGTATTATTATGTGCTATATATTTTCTCAGGTATTATGATGAAGATTTTACTTGTAACATTTTTATGATGTACAATTTAGTTCACATTTAATGATTTCCAAAACTGTATCAGGTATATAAATATTGACTTAACTTGAAAATTGGGGATAACTGCTCCTAGCATCAGAGATTAGAAAACTTCTTTTCTTTGAAAAAGCTTCCTTTAGTCATAAATCAAACTTACAAGTTACCATTAATCAGAACTAAAGTAATTTATTAATTCAGACATTTAAACCCTAAAATTATATTACTTGTTCAATCTGATCAGTGATATAATGGGTCAAAATTAAGACGTATATATTATGAAACGATCATGTAAGTTATTCTGGTATTTACCTTTACAACATTTTTATCATCGGATGGAGATTCTTTCTTGACATTGTGCACTAAATCAGTTAACCAGGATGGAGAAAGCATGTCTCTCATAGAGTCCTTCATTTTTGAAAACAGTGACTGCAATATAAAATTAAACAAAAGCTGTCAGACAGACAGACAGATAGTGAGCTCCACTCTTGTGCTTGATAGAAAATTGGAAATTGTTTTTATTACTTATTCACTATACAGGGCTGCCAACAGCAAATTGCAAAATCCGAGGAAAATATGCGGGGGGGGGTCAAGGGGGATGCGCAAGCAACCCTTTGCAGGTCGAATGAATTTATTGTCTTTGTCGAATTTACATCGATCTCAAAAATGACCCAGGAGGAAAATCGGCAGCCCTGACTATATGACCAACACCATCATTTAAACAAGTTGCATGATAAACTAAATGATTTTTCATTACTATTTAACTTATTCATTTAAACCCTTTTCAACACATTGAACAGAACATGTCATAATTCTTTACAGCAATTTATTTTTTATTGGTGCATCTATAAAATGTAATTAGCGTATTTTTTTCAAGGTGATTATATATTTGAGATCAGAAATGTTGAGGTTTGGAATTGGGGGATAAAATGTCTGTATAGTCTGTAAAAGAGAGTTCTTTTACAGGACCCAGGGGGCAAAATATGCAGCTTTTTATGATATGCATGGGGCAGAAAACCAATACAAATCACGATCCAAGTAGTAAATTTATATTTTGTTTTTTTTTTAACATGGGTTTAACATGGGACAAAGTATGAATCCCATTCATTCTAATCGGTAACAATACATATTTCTTCGTGTAATAAATCAAACCTCATCAATGGGTTTCAAACCCACAGCAGTGAGAGGCAATTCATTTAAAGATAACTCCTTAACCACTCGGCCAAGAAGGACCTTAAAAGGCAGAAATTGCGCAGGATGTCAAAATGATACACATTTGATCAATTATATACCACAGACTTCCTGAAAGTTGAAAAAAACTGTCAGTTATCATGATACACATTTGATCAATTATATACCACAGACTTCCCGAAAGTTGAAAAAAACTGTCAGTTATTCGGTCTGACATACCATGAAATTCTGTCGGACCGAAACAAAATCTGTCGGACCAAATAAAATTGATCAAAATCAATGAAAAACTTGTGTTTGTATTTCTAAGACACTTTTTGTTTTTTATTTTTTTGCCGTAAAAATCGACACAATCCGTACAGGGCATTTTCATCTCCTCCCTGTCATACACCAATGATTCATGGTTCTGCTTCCATTTTTCATTAAATTTTGTCTCAGGTCTATTCTTTTCATCCCTTTATTGCTGTTCTGTGCACTCTTCTGACGTAGATTTTCGTTTTTCCCAGGTTTGGCACCTTTAGCGACGCCATTTTGTTTACATGCGGCTTGGATAAAAGCCGGACAGTCGGACCGATCCGGAATAAAAAATTGTCAGACCTGATCAAAATTTATCGGACATGTCCGTCGGACCGACGTATTTCGGGAAGTCTGATACCATACAAAATGTATAAATACTATGGTTCAAACAGGATGTGTTAACCTCAAAATTCTCCTAGCCAATCCATTAATAGGGAGCTCGACGAGCTGGCCCGAAGGGCCTGCTCGCAAAGCGAGCTTTACGGTAACGAGAGTACCTGCTAAGTGATGGTTTTAAAAACTTTCGTTCGAAGTACCAAATTGGACACATCGCAACCTTTCGAATTTAAAGATAACGATAAAAACTGAGGAATTCTGACTGAAAACGGATGTGTAGACTGGTCACCCGCGCACGTCTATGGGAACCATAATTGGACAGGAAACCAGAGTAACGGAAGCTGTCGATGAAATATCGAACGGAAATGTAAAATGAAAATTGAAGGCGCCATTTTGTTTGAAAAATCTGATAAATTAAAACAATTTTTTGTCGAATTTTGTTGTGAAAACTATCTAGAATGAAAGAAAATGGTCTAACTAAGAAAATGAATCCGAACACCAATATCTTTTATTCGGTCGTTAACTCTGTACAGACGTTTAAAGTATTGTTTACGTGACGTCACAATGTAGCGCCAAACAGCACGTGCAAAACAAACAAATCAAGTACGCTATTTTAATGTCACAAACGTTTTAAGTTTTACATTTATTTCACTTTTAATAATCTTTATTTCGCTTGAAAAATTATAGAGTGAAATAAAATAAACAAAGTTTTATCAACGTTTTCAAAACTCGTTATTCATTTAACGACAGGGGCGGAGCCATATTTAACACAGTACGTGTAACCTCACACGCACTCGTCAATGCATTTGAAATAAAATGCGCGATTATTCAATACTATTTCACGTTAAAAGTACATCGAGCTCGCTTTAAGGCTTTGCCTTTTTCATATTAATTTACAGTTTGTTTATCCGACAAACCTACCCCTAAGACTGCCTACATTCATTTCAGTATCAAAACATTTTCAAGAGTTCAAACATGAATTCAGACTTCTTCACATCACAAAAACCACATTGCATAATATGCAGGAGACAGTCATAACCTTGCACATGACCAAAGTATTAGACAGTTCACATTTTTAATTCATATTTACATTCATACAAATTCATTCAATCCAAAAGAAATAATCATTAAGGAATGCCTATATTCATCACTTAAAACTTGGATGTTCCTACAGATCCCATTTTTAAAGGGCAAATTAATTTTTTTTCATAATTTTTTTATTGTGGACATTTACCTTTCGGCCTTCTTTCCTGGCATAAGGTACTCTTTGGGAGTGGGAACCTGGGCGATCCATTTTCCCACTTCCCTTGAAAATAAATGAAGGCGTTGTCTTAAACGATAACTATGTGTTTTCCCAGATATCTTTAAAAAATTGTAGATTTTCCCACATGCAGACTTCCATAAAATAAGATGGCGGCAAGTCTGGAGTCATTTCATTGGTCAATTCTTGACCATGTGACTATAAGTAGAAGGGACACAACTCATCCTCGTCAATGATTTCTAAAAACCGTTATATTGCCGTACCCGTAAATGTCTGGATGGATATTCATTCCTTCAATCACGGTGTGATTCAGTTTTTTCATTAATCTGAAGTATTTTTCTTCACTATCTTCTTTTTAGAATGTAGTAAATGTACTTTGCTTTTTACTCTTGAATTGTAAAAAGTTTCAAAATATATATTTCTTTCTTGTACAGTATTTTATAAGAACAGTACGTACATTTATAATGAGTAATATAATAGTAACTAACTATACTTCGTGTATTTATTATACAAAAGGGTTTTGTAATTTTAAATGTCTTTATTTTCTTCTTGTAAATACATCAGTCTAATAATTCACTGGAGAATATGTCCGAATGAACCATTCGACAGGAAAAACAAAAGAGTTGATTTTATATGTTTACCTATCTTTTCTGTGAATACACACAGTTGACATTTCAACTAAAAAAAAAGTGAATAAAAGAAGAAGAAAAAAATATTATATACATTTAAAGCTACATGCCTCCGGATGATTCAAAAATATTTCAATGAAATCAAACTTAAGAAAAAATGAACAAAGATTTTAGGGAAAAAAGGATTGAAGATTCTTGTAATAATATGCATGTTTTGTGTGATTAATGACTGATTTTTAGTATTTATAACTTTATTTCTACTGCGATACTAACGCAGTAAGGGCTATTTTTTCATAATTTGACCTTTTTGTAATCTACAAGGGTTGCAAGTGCCACTGATAATGTGTAATAAATTGCTTCCCTGTGTATACTTAACAATATTATAATTTTAAATGCATTTTTAATATTTTCATGAAAATTAATATGAATCTGGAGTCGTGCTGCTTTAAAAATAAACACTGTGAAATGTTGTTGTTTTGTCTTGGACATGCGACTACGTTCATTCTATATTCTTTGTTAAAAAAGCATACAATTAAAAATATGCTCAATTCAACTGGTTAAGTGTTGTTAGATGTAATTAACCTTGTTTACCAACTGGAAGAGCACCGCGTTTTCCTGCAAAATTGAGGGAAATATTGCCCACATGTATTTTCGTAAATAAATATAAAATCTATAAATTTCTGATCATATGTAATTTAAAATACAACTCTACCTTCTACCGGGTTAATCAGTTTCACTTGTTTAACTACCCATTAAAATAGAAGCGGGTATATCGACTAAATTAATTCATTTAGCAATAACTTCAAGCATCTTTGGTTGCAAACTTATGCGGCGATAATATTTTTTACTTTAACTAGGCATTCGTGGATAGATCTATCTTTTGCTAAATTAATTATTGGTTATTTATATATGATATAAATGAATGTAACAATAATTCAATATAACAGCACGCTAATTTCAACATCCATTGGAGATATTTTCAGATGGCAGTTTAAAGGAATTTCCATGAAATGTTAGACAAGTACATTTTTTGTATTCTCTTAATTTATAAAATTGAAAGATACACCGCGCCAATACGTTTGACGAAATTTAAGAAAAATGAACTAAAATTAATGTTACTTCTTGGAAAATAAAGAAATCAAGGTTAGTGTATTTGCGTTTATTAATATCCTTCAAGGACAATTATAAAAAGGAAAAGAAATAAAAGGAAGTTAATTTAGTTCCGCCTATATTGCTATTTTTATTTAGTACACTTTTCGACGTGTCACAATTACTACTGCGGATATTTCTAAATTCAAAGTTTCGACATTTTCATGTTTAAATGTTGAATTGTAGCGTGAACGGTAGCAGCATTTTCTAGAACCGTCCATGAGCATGCTCAATCGTACCGAGCCTACAACATTTTCAATTATGCCGTTTTTATGTTCTTTAGGGATTTTATTTTTCCCTATTTGATACATTTTACTGTTGCAACAGAAGCTGTTATTCATAACGAGTTTATGTCACTGCGTTCTAATGTTCATGTTGAAAGTTATATTAAGTTTGATTTTATCGGTTGTTTTTTTTACTTTGCATTTTAACATCAAGTGTGAAATATGTATGTGGTGTAATAATCTTTTGGTCACAAGTTCAAAATCCTAAGTATCCGTGCATTTCTTTACATTTCTGATATACGCTATTCTTCTTATGTTATAGTGACTGATTTGGTACACTTGCGCGATGCGTTGTCGACAGCGACAACACAACCTATATTGTTATTGCCTTTTCGTCTTGTCGCTAGCGGCAGCACGACAAAGCGCCACACGTCGCGTTGTCATACTGTATTCTTGTCGTTCTGTCGCTAGCAAAGCACGCCGTGAATGACACATTGTCGTGCGACGTGTTGTCGCTATGTTGCCCTGTCGCTTGGCTTATATATAAATCCTTCGAATTGAGCAAAGCGACAATGTAACATCGCGACAACACGCTGCACAACAACGCGCCGTTTGGCGTGCATCGTTAGCGACAGTACGACAAGACGACAGTGCGACAACGGGCCGTTTGGCGCTTTGTCATGCTGTCGCTAGCGACAACACGACGCACAAAAGTGTTCCAAGTCAGCCACTAAAGTAAATATATAGTTATAAAACACGAAAAAAAATCGACAAGACCGAATGCCGTTCACAGAATTGTGCCCTCGACAAAACCAAGAGCAAAGGAAAACAGTAGGGAATAAAATGCGGGATATGAAATGGGCATACCAATATACGATAGCAATTTACAAACTAGAAGTATCTTTAAAAGAAATACTAGGCTGAGCTAAATCTGCATTTATTTGCAGAAATCATTTTGGATTTTTGTATTAAATCTTATGAAGAAATTTTAGCAGTGCCTGTTTAATGATGTAATATAACAACAGTAATTACTTGTGCAAATTCAAAGTTATGATTGTAAACAGTTGAGCAGGCCTCTCAGTAGTATTAGTCGTCTGCGAGTTGTATTATGGGCAATATCGTCAAGCGGGCCAGAACAAAATGTACCATAGAATCTAGCTTTGGCTGACTATTAAAAGGTTCTATATCACTCGAGGCAATATTACTCTTCGACCAAAGTATCTCAATGGTACGGTGGCACAAAGGTGACATCTGTGTGTTTTTATTTATCTCGTGCGCACGAGCTATATATATACGATGTCGTGGCCACGAGTAACTAAGTCGTGCGCATGAGATAATTAAGTGTTGCGCTCGAGATAATATGACTTGGCCACGATTTACTAAGTCGTGCGCACGAGATAATTATGTCGTGGCCACTAGTGGTAAACTGGTAATTGCAAGCTACCGTCCACCCCTTAGCACCGGCTTGAGCAAAATTCAACATTTAATATGAACTGGTAAAATTTTAAATTTTGAAACATCCGCAAGTTATGTGTTCATATGGCGGTTATCATGTAACCTTCAAAATTGCGACCAAAATGCACTTTCAAGAAAAAGATATTTGTCTGTGCACTGAACGTAAATTAAAACATGTAGGTCTAAACAAACAGTATTGACAGAGACATATTTTGTATTGTTTCATGAATTTCAAAACTTACAGTACAGGTTTGAAAAAAAAAAACGAGTAGAAAAATGGACCAAAATAGTCAGAAGTTTATCATATATGACTAGTTTATATCATCAATAACATCGTCAAATCAAACCTAAAACCGAGTGTGTCATAAAGATTGCCTTAATGAATGGACATATACTATAATTCAAAAATATAGAAATAACATAGATTCTACTGTAATAGCTTGTTGAGAAAAACAGAATCCCTAAAGACCGCCCAAAACGACAAAATTGAAAATGTTGCAAGCTCAGTTTGATTGACGGTACTGAGAATGCAAGCTTCCTTTCACGCTCCAAGCAGAAATCTACTTACCTGGACACAATACGGGCGGTCATTATAAATCGCCATTTATTTATTTAACCATTTCGCTAGACCTATGCAACCACTTCACAATGTGTCCCTTGATAGACTAGTACATTGTTTTTAATAGGATAGTACCAAGTTATTTTGCCAACTAGATCTAGCACAAATTAAGGATTGAAATTTTATTTTCCTAGCATTTCACAATCATCTAGCCACCATGATTTTTTAATAGATGTTGTCATTTGAGATTATTAATTTAGATCTAAATCTATATGATAGAAACAAAAAAAATATAATCCCGCAGTGTCCCATGTTCAAGAGTACCAGTTTTGATTGATTGATTGATTTTCTTTAGACCTGGCGGTCAAAGATAACCTACGAAAGTGCAAGCAAGCTTGCACTTATTACCAGTAGGGTCCTTACCTCAACAGACTCTAGAGGCAGCTATGAGATACAAGGGAGTCCGGGAACCAGTCCCTAGCTCTTATTGAATAGGATTTAACTTAATACAGGATTGGAGCAGTACCTCTAGACGCTTGCAGAAATCATGATCACAAAATAGACAAATATCGTTTTTTTCGCCGATTTTTACATTTTTCCTTCATTGTCTTACTTAACTCGGTGTGAAAAGATGAATTAGACCTGTTAAAGTTCATTCCGTAGATTTTAGCATTTTATCATTCAAGCGCCTTGTCCGGTATATACCGGAATACGGTATTTAGTGTGGTGCTCCAATCCTTTTTGGCTTGCAGCCGTGGCCATAGGCACTTGGTTTCGGGATAAAAAGCCTTTTGAAGGGTTTGTATGACTCAAATTTGATTGAATGTAACGATTTTTAACGTAGATGTTTCGATTCTAAATTCGACATTTTTCCGATATTACTAAAAAATATCGGTAACGATTTTTAACGTAGATGTTTCGATTCTAAATTCGACATTTTTCCGATATTACTAAAAAATATCGGAAAAATGTCGAATTTAGAATCGAGACATCTACGTTAAAAAATCGTTACATTCAATCAAATTTGAGTCATACAAACCCTTCAAAAGGCTTTTTATCCCGAAACCAAGTGCCTATGGCCGTGGCTGCAAGCCATTTCATTTGGAAAACTTGTTCCGGTTAGGTGGTTTCCTGCTTACATCTGTTGGTGCATGATTGAACGGGAGAC